GGCGCCCGCCGCCAAGAAGGAGACCAAGGAGCCCAAGGAGAAGAAGGCGGCCGCTCCCAAGAAGGCGGCCCCGGCGAAGGCCTCGGTGCCGAAGAAGGCGGCACCCAAGAAGGCCGCCGACAAGAAGGAGGCCAAGGCTGAGGCCGCCGCCGCCGCTGCATAAACGGCATCCGTCCATCCATCCAGGCAACCGTTACGATGATGCAATGTCGAATTTGCTCGGCTTTCACACAGCAAACGTCTGGTGTCATGAATCTTCTCCAACGGCGTTCACGGGGGGTCTCGTTTTTGTTTACTGGGAAAGGGCAAAGGGCCGGGACGGTTGGTGGGAAACCGACCGGGGAGGGAAAACGCGACGCGTTTCTGTCTTGTGTTTTGTTACTTGCTGCTATCGCCATGTGTGTGTGTGTGCGCGCACGCGCGTGTGTAAGTCCCTTGGGGGGTTTTTGAGGGCTGCGAGAAAGGGACGGGTCAAGTCGAGTTGATGCTGGGCTTTTTTTTTTTTGTCTCTGGAGATTTTACGCGACGTCTGCCGACGCCGTGTCTGTGTACGCATTCTTGGTCCCGCCACAAGACATGGTGGCGGCGTTTGGTCTGCGTCGACTGAGACTCTTTCGACCACTGTAACTATAGCTCGCGCGATATACCAACGATGGGAGCCTTTTGTCACTGTTCATACAATGACTTTTCTATCCGCACTGCCTGACGCCTTGGTCCTCACAATATGAGGCCTGAACCGAAGATGAACGGTCGACATTTGGTCAGGGGGAGGCACAGGTCGTAAAGCCGCGCGTGTTTAATTACAAGCATCGGTCCTGAGAAGGAGAAATGATGCCGCAGAAGGACATTTCGTTTGACGGACGACGCCTGGGGTCATGGACCAAGCGCCGGCCAGGAAATGAAGCATCGCACAAGACCACGCACATATACACACGACGAGGAAATTCCCAATACAGAAGAGAAAAGGGTTGCGGCCACGGGTCGGTCTACCTACGACCGGCACACCCGGAGGTGGAGTCGAGACGCGGTTCGCACTTCTTTTTTGTTTACGTTTGTACGGAGTATTCTTTCCCTATATATATATATATATATATTTGGTTCAGTTGTCCTTCCTTTCGGGGTGTTGCGGCGGGCGGTCGGTCGGTATGTCGGGGTCTTTCCTCCCACCGATGTTGAAGGACAGGTACAGATAGGTAGTGAGTGCAAAGGGGGCGCGCGGAGAGAAGAGGCGCCCGAGATACCCTGAACTCTTGCCGGCCCGCGCTGAAGATTGGAAGAGTCACGTGTCCCCCGGGCGCGCTGTCTTTCTCTGCATGTTCTTCACTACCCAACATTGTGTGTATGTATGTATGTGGTGTGGTGTGGTGTGCGGGTGTGTATGTGTGCGCGCGCGTGGCTGGAGAAGAGCATATAGGACGCATAATCCCGAGTTACTAGTCTATGGACTTCACGGAAACGGCCTTTTTGTTGTGTTGCCGCGTCTCTCTACTGTGGGGTGGGAGGTCTTGTTTCCCCTCCCCCCCCCTTTGCACGACACCCCGGCGGCCCGAGGTCGTGCTACTTATTGGACGAGCGTGCCATCGCCCATCGCCCCCCATGGCAATTAGGCCAGGACGTCGGGGTGCTGCTGCTGCTGCTGCTTTGGATGGACGAAGACACTGGATTTAAACACGTACTGCGACGAACGGGGCGGCCGCCATCGCCGCACCACGCCCGCGATAACAATCCTGCTGCTTAGTCCTCCCCCCCCCGTGCTGGTGGTCATCTGGATGAAGCCTCACGTGGCGTTCCCCGCGGGTTGGCTTTGGCTTGGTAGCTACCTAGGTGTGTGTCGTGTGTGTTTGCGAATGGAGGCGGGCTGAGGAGCCGACCGGGCCTGGCCATCGAGGCCTGCCTATGCCGTCGCGCCGGGCTTTTTCCTGTTTACAGCGGACCGCTGAAGCGTGTCCATCAGAGAGACCTGACGACGGAGGCAGGGCAGGCAATGGGCTCGTACTACCGATGGGAGAGAAGGCGGCGACTAACATCCAGCCGTTAACGGTCTGCCTCTTAGCCACTCGTCGCGGTTCAGTTCTGGGCTTGGGAGGGCGTGGCGGTGCGGTGTGGTGCGGGGGGGAAGGGAAACGCTCGAGAGATGGAAGGTCACGGGCCGGTACAACGGCGTCACACGTTAAGCTCGCAGCTTTCAGAAGCGTGCGGCAGCCGCAAACACCCACCCACCCGCGGCTCTTATTCCTAGCCATCGTCTATCGGTTACACACTAAGTAACAGCATCGCCCGCTGTTCGGCGCACAGTCGCACTTCCCCCCCTTCTCCTCCCGCCCTCAAAGACGCTTCGGCGCAGCGCAGGTCCTGACGGGGTGCAAGGAGTGACGCGGATGGCTAGCCCCGAGCTTGCTTCCCATTGGTGTTCCTGAAACAAACCTTGATCGCTCTGGGGGGAAGGGAGGGTGAAGAAGGAAGACATGGCCCGGTTCGTTCTTGTCCGCCGACCGCCGCCGCGATGTTCTTGTACCTGGTACACTACCTTGGCTGCACGTGATAGAGAAACACATGGCTTTGGAGGAGGGAGGAGGGAGGGAGGAGGGAGGGTGGAAGAGTGTGTGTGTGTGTAGGAGGAGACGGTGGTGGACGCGGAAAGTAGGTAGCAAATCTCATGGTTATAGACATGCCTCTACGCATCCGTCTTCTCTTGCGCGGTTTTTGAAGGCCTCGGGAGCAGCTGCATATCCCGGGATCCTTGCTGTAAATCCGGAACGGCTTGGGCGACAGGTGCAGGGGGCAACCGTACACTCGGTGGGCGTTGGATCAGAGATGGAGTGGAGAGGGAAGGGGGCCCTGAAAATTGTTGGCGAGGTGCTGGACGGGCGGGTTTGTGAAGAGCAAAAGCGAGGCGAGACGAAGAGGGAGAGAGGAGAGTTGAGAGAGAGAGAGAAAGAGAAAGAGAGCAATGGGTCGGCTTTGCTTCCGAGGAATAACGGCGTCGGTGTGTTGAGGTTAGAGGCAGAGAGGAGGAGAGCTTCCTTCCCTACCTACATCATACCTAACTATCCGTACTGTGGGTAAGTATCTAGTACAGGGCTGTGCGCGCCTTCCCGTTCGTTTCGGGGTATGCAAATGTGGGGTTAGCAGGATGACCTCAGGGACGCGCCTGTCGAATGGAGGCAAGTATTGGGCACCTACCTCGCACGAGGTCCTCCTTCCCCGGTTCTGTTGGTGCTGGTGTTGGTGCTGGTGCTGCTTCCTTTTCCTCGTGCCTGCAGTTACATACCTACCTAGATAGGTAGGTAGGCACCAAGCAAGGTAAGAAGAGTACGTTTCCATTTGCCAAGCCGTGTGCTTTCTTCACCTTCTCTCTCTCTCTCTCTCTCTCTCTTCATCCGTCCTTCCTGCCTGCTGTATGTATCCATGTATGTATTCATGTAGTTACCATGTACCTACCCAGGTACCTAGGTACTGTAGGTGGGCATGCGTGTAATGTAGATATGCATGTGTTTGTGTCGGCAAGCGTCTCGTTTATATCTGGAACTGCAAACCCGCATCTGGAACAGGGAATCCGAGGGCGGAAACTGCAACGAGGCAAAATGTCAGGCGGCACTTGGACTTGGACTTGGACGTTGACTTGGACGTTGACCGGGGCGGCGGCAGCAGTAGCTAGCAGTAGCTAGCAGTAGCAGAGTAGCACAGCACAGAAGGAAGGGCCCCTTTCTCTTACATCATCCCCCTCCCCCGCCAGCGCCAGGGTTCCATTGGGGAGGGTCCTTCCCCATCAAAAATTGTCGTCGTCAATCACCAAATACGCCCAAAATCCCTATCCAGTGTACGAATGCTGTATACGGATACTCCGTATACACTCTCAGTACCTACGGTAGGTATCCTCGGCATGCGATAAGCGGGAGCTCATAGCTCCTCCTCCTTCCCCTGCTGCCCTCATGCTGCCTTCCTTATCACTCACTTACCGTATCCGTATCATACATACGGAATACCTCAGCAAAATACACTACACATCGCATCGCATCGCATCGCATCGCATCCCGTCGCATCGCATCGCACTGACCGTCCCTCCCACCACCCCTGGTCCCTCGACCTCGTCCGGACCTGACTGACGTCTTGCTTCTGTCCAATCTCCTCTCGTCATCTTCTACAACACACCTCGCATCAAATCCCTCCCAAACCAACCATCCGCCGCCAGCACTGCCCCTACGCACGCCAATAAACCACTACTACTACCACCACCACCACCACCACCACCACCACCACCGCATCCGCATCCACATTTACTTGACTGCTGCCTCTTTTCCACCCCTTCAATTCTTCCATTACCCGTCAACTGCTTCTTATCGCTACCATACGAACACCATACCATCACCAGCCATACCGACCATCTTCTATTCGTAGATAGACGCACAGAACACTCCTCCAGCTGGCCCCCCACCCCAACTCTTCAAGAATTGGGCACCTCGCTGCCCTTGCGTTCCCGCCCATTGCTCAAAACACCCGTGGTAAGCAAACAACATGGCCCCCCATTTTCCCTATTGGGCTACCCGTCATCCCGACCCCAAAATCCCTCTACCATCGCGTCCCTTGCGACTCGTGTGCACCCCCCCTCCCCAACCGATTGTTCCGGCCGACGAGACTAACATTCTCCCGCAGTACCCGTGCTCCCTCCCCAAACAACCAATACTCATCAATCCGTACCCTCCCCGATTTACCAACCCACCGATCAAACATAACTCGGCTACCCAGCCTTGCTTCCGTCATTCGACTCTCTGGCAATTCCAACGACCTCGACCCTCGAAGCATCATCGTCGTCGCTGTCGTCGAGCCTTGCGTCGATAGCGTCATCCGGCGATTACGACACCCCTCCACGTCTTCCCTTGACAGGACATGGCCATGGCGGCTGCCTAACTCTTCCTCCTTCGACAGCCCTGTACTACGAGATAACCCACACATAGAATTCCTCTATCCAACTCGAGCCTGAGCCATTGTCAGCCCCAATCATGGCGTCCGGACACAATCCTTTTCGCAAGAACTCGGCCTCCGCCGCCCTGTCACCCGCCATGCCTCACCCCGTGACGACCTCGGCCTTCCTCGAGTCCATCACATCAGGCATTTCTCGCCAGAACGCCCCCCCACCCCCCGAGCTGCGACCGGTGAAGCAGAAGGTCGTCAAGAAGGTCAGGGTGCTGTCGCCGCCGCCCTCGTCCCCTTCCTCTCCCGAGTCCGTTCACAGTCGTGGCTTTGGCCGTCAAGACAGCAGCGACGACGATTCACACGATGACGACGACGACGACCACTTCTCAAAGAGGTTCCCCGAGCTCCCCGGCGGCCTACCCGAGGCTGCCCCCCTTCGTATTGCCAATGCGAGCGGCACCCCCGAGAACCCCTTTGGCAAGACGCTGCAGGACTTGGAGGTCCTGACGGCAGAGAAGCCTTCGCCCGCCGCAGCCGGGAAGTCTATGGACGTCAACTCATTCAAGATGCTGCTGCTCACCGGTCAGGCTGGTGCCGGAACGCCGCCCCCGCAAAACTCGCAACTGCACCAAAACTCGACCCCCGGTTTCCCGACCGATGCATCTTATGCTGCCCCCGGGCTGGATACGCCTCGGACATCGTTGGACATGGCAGATCGTCGTGCAGACGAACAACGCTCTCTGCTGTCATCACCCACAGCTGCCAAGAGAAAGCCCCCTCCTCCGAGCTCAAGGCACGGCAGGAAGATCAGCGTTCAAACGCCGGAACGCCCGCACGTCTCTTCCGAGACGGCGTCGCCCGTATCGCCATCTGACACGAACAAGCCCCTCCCGCCGGCCCCTAGCGGTCATGGCCTGGATGACGCGGAAGATGTTTTCGCCCGAGAGGCCGCTGGCAAGGTTCCGGAGCTGGACTCCCCCACTCTCAACACCACGCCCACTCCGACCCTTCCGGCGACTACCAAAAAGCCGACGCCCGCCCCTCCGCCACGCCGAGGTCATGCCCGTAGCCAATCGTTGACCCCCTCTGCCGGCGCAACTGCTCCGAGCACGGCGAACTACGAGGCCGATACCCCGCCTCGCTCGTCCATGGAGTCTCAGCGATCGCGTTCCGAGAGCTTCCGGAGCATCAACGCCCCGGCCCCACCGCCTCCAAGGCGTCCGCATGCATCGCACCGGCAGTCGTACCAGCTGGCGTCGCCTTCGAATGCATCCTTCAACGGCGCCAGCCCGGCTCCGTCCGATCTTGAGGCTCCTTTACACGCTGCGGCGAACACCCCTCCCAAGATCTCGCCCCCTCCGCCGCCCCCGGCGCGTCACACATCCATACGTCGACCTCCAAGCGTGAGAAGCATTGAAGCCCCCAGCAGAAAGATCAGCATTGGCAAAGAAACCGCCGCTCCTCCGCCGCCGCCGCCGCCGCCGCGACAGAGAGGCAGCAGCCGCGGAAGCATGGATGGGTACGGAGTGAGGAGGACGAGCATCGACAGTACCAAGGCCATGGGCAGCAACGTTCCAGAGGAGTCTGGTGTCGAGGAAAGCGTACAGGATCACGGCACAGCAGATGGTGGAATGGCGGCAGATATTCTCGCAGACCTTGACGCGTTGCAGAGAGAGGTGGATGCGCTAAGGGCGTCACAGGGTAAATAAAGTGCAAGATGAATGTGACAATAGAGGGCTGGACTTGGCATAGAACTGGCCGACGAGCCACTCGTTATGCCCCGGAAGGGCCGATGGACGGGCCATGTTAAACAGGCGTTTGTACGTTTACACACGTATTGGGATACGACATGAAGTAATGCAATGGTTATGAGTTGATGCTCATGCTGCAGAGGGCTTACGTGTTTGAGAGACCCGCATGACTCTCGTACAGGAAAATAGATTCGAGAGACAATGCAAGTGAATAACCCAACCTATGGGGATGGGCTGCTTCCCGGCCAATCTTCCGATTCGACCTACCACTATCCCATGGCCTTTCTGGACAACGTCGACGAGTAATGACACTGTATTCCGGGCCTTCATGCACGACGTGATGGAGCGCTTCTGAGCACGAGCATATAGAGAGAACTTGAAGGCCGAGCTGATGGCGACGCTGAGTCGGCACATGGAAGACAAGTACGGGGGAGCGGCCGTTCGTGGTCGAGAGGACCGTCCTGTTGGCGAGGAGGGGGAAGCCCCTTCCTTACCAGCCCTTGTCGTTGATGAGAAGGTGGGTAAGAGTCTTGCGAAGAAACCAGCATCAAGATCAGTATTGCTTTTTTTTTTTTTTTTCGTTGTCGTCTTGGCTGTGAGAACTGCTTGCTCACGAGGAGTTGCATGTCGATTTCATGGATCGTTCAGTTACCATGCTTGACCCGAATCCGACGGCTCAACTCCGACTAACAAGACGAAGGTTCCCATGTGGCATCTAACATCGTCTGCGACTGGTTTCGTGTCACTCACGGAGTTTTCCTAGCTCTGGGATGACCGACTACCCCCATGACATGAGATGCCAACCGGGGCGACGCCGAGTCACATGAACATGCTGAACACGTCCCGGGCACAGCTGGCCGTCCCTTCGTCGGGCTCTCCTCGCAGCAAGTTGCGCGTCGTCGGTAGAAGGACAGCATCGTGTAGGAGAAGTGTGCGTTTCGATCTTATGACAGGAAGAAGGGTTGTTGATTCCTCTATTGTATGATGTTATAGTACTCTGGCGGTCGATATCGTGCTCCAATGGGTTGTGAAGTATCTCCGTGTGCCCTTTAAAGCTTACAAACGGCAGGAAGCAAGAAATGCCCTCGGTTCTAGGGCGCGGCTCCCTGAGTAAAGCGTCGTTGTCACAATGTAAAGCATAGAACCAAGTTTTCAAGCGTCAAAAGAAGCATTCGCTCAGCACTCTTGAGAGGGAAGTCGAGGAGGGAGGGGGGTCAACACTAGATTGAGGCTTTGGGCACCTAGACTAGGAAGGTGTGATGTGACGAGCGGGGAAGCCAAGACGACTTATCACGCCTCTTTAGAGAGGTTCCCCGATATTGGTCGATCGGCGCTTATAGCCGGTTGCATCGCCTCACGCACACATCGCAAGATCAGGAGGGGATGAGAGGCTTCTCAACTAGCCAGGGTCTAATCATATCGGCTGGCACGCAGCCCCTTTCCCCCAACGCAATAACCTTACTGCTATCCGAGCGAGCTGCAGTGAGTCGGCTATCAAGGTTTTGGCGGACGAGTAGAAATCATGGGATGGCGGCACCTCTTTCAATACCCTGATTCGTGGTCCCATTGCAGCTGTTACGTTACGTCAGGGTCTCTACTTGGACAGGATAACACACAGGGGCTGTTTGCGGGTGACCAGTCTTGTCGTATGCGACAATGTGTGGATGAGACCTCTTTAAAAGGGACGAGCTTATGCCTTGTGCGGATGCGTGGTGTATCATGATAATCTGCTTCTCCGATACACCGTCAATACCTCAATGATGTACTGGACGACCCTCAACCGCCTTGCCGTACTAGTGGCTTTGCTGCTGTATGGATCTCTCCTCATCCACGCGGCAGCCGACACCGGCGTCAAATCCATTTTCCTCTTCAAGGATGTGCTGCAGTCAAACACGACGGCTCTCAAGACGTCCGGCTTCGATAGCCTCGTCATCTTCCGGATCGGCGTCCTGGACAACGGCGACCTGGTCTACTACTCGACCGGGGACGCCGGGGAGGCAGTCGACGCCCCTGTCGTGACAAACGGCGCGTACGTCGGCGGGGCGGCGCTGGCGGACAAGATTAAATCCTTCAAGACGGGCACGACCTACATAAACAGGGTGGAGGTCTCGCTGGTCTCGCACGACACGACGTTCCAGAACATCCGCGACCTGATCAACGCCGACGGGCCGGGCCCCGACACCGTCTTGTACAAGAACTTTGAGATCCTGAAGACGGAGTGGCACCTCGACGCCTTCAACAACGACGACGAAGGCGTCTACGACGTGTCGAGCACGGTCGAGTTCGCCCGGCTGCTGGGCGCCATCGGCTACCGGTATTCCATTGCGCCGTACACAAACAGCGGCTTCTGGGCCACCGTCAAGCGCGACATCGACGCCGCGGCCCCGGGCCTGTTCGACCGCGTGTACCTGCAGGTCTACGACGGCGGCGCCGGCAACAACCCGGGGTCGTGGCAGACCGCACTCGGGATCAAGGTCATCCCCCTCCTGTGGGTGGTCAACGACGCGAAGCCGTCGCAGGGCGTCACGGCGGGGCAGGCCCAGCAAAGGTTCGGCAGCTGGTCCTCGCAGTACGCCGTGGCCGGGGGTGGGTACTGGAACGACTACGACATTGAGAAGATGGGCTCGTCCTACGCCGACTACGCCGCCGCACTCGCGGGTGTTTTCCAATGAGATATGAGCTAACAACGGGCCGACGAGATCATCGGGCTCGCCGAAGCGATCTTTAGTGGATGTTTGTTTCTTTTTCTTAGTCGCGGTAAGCCGGGGTATTTTGTAGCAGGATATGCAAAGAAAGACTTCCGGAGAATGAGAACCCGATCGTACCACAACGACCAGACACTGCGGCATCCTCCGAGTGTACTGACGCTAGTGTATAGATGGCTTGATGTCGCCTATCTCGGCCCCAATCGACTTACTTATCGGTTAGGGCCCTGCAGTCTCGCCATCTCTAGCAGAAGCGCCTGTGTATGTAAATAGCCACCGATTATGGGATCGAGCTAGCTTTAGGTTTGTAACTAAAACGTTTCAGAAGGCGCACTTCCTGTAGCGTTGGACATCCGCTATAGTCAATCAAGATATGCGGCGATGTGGCAAGGAGGAACAATAACAATCTCATAGCATCAGCTCTTGGCTTCACTCGGTATGACCATGCTTACGGTTTTCCTTGCCAGTGATGCATAGTCATTGCCTCCATTTGTATGACCGAATCTACCAGTTTGAACTGCAACTGGAGCCCAATGTCTTGGTAGAAAGAGAAACGCCGGAAAGGCCAGCGCATCCTTCAAATGAGCCCATGCAAACTCTTCACTTCAGCCAAGTTTCTGAGAGACTCTCGTACCGGGAGAGACGGCAGCCGTCAGACATTTCATCATAAACATTCTTCCGAAGAAACAAGTCTAAACACCTGAGAAACAACGTCCACTGTAGCTTTCTGCACCTCAAACAGGACGTGCGGCAAGAGAGTCGCGTCTGCTACCACAGCCACACATTGACTGAAGTGAACATCTCGTATCACGGCAGGGAAGAGTAGCGGATTCCTTGAGTTCCACATTTCGCAAGATATCAGTGGGCAGGTCATATCAGACCCCTCTCCCCGGGCCTCTCATGGTCCAGAGCACACATGTTCCCACCCAAGCCGCATGTGAACGTTACCTTGCCGCGACTCTAACGCCAACTGGGGAAGCAAGTTGAGGCGAAGGGTTAGCAGACCGGCTCTGGGGGTCGGCAAAGAACAAGATATAATTATCAGCAATGGCTTGCTGGTCGAAGTCCGTCCGATCGGCCAGTCACTGATATCAATACACCAACTTTCACGGTAACTTTCCCCACAACAAGAATGCTAGAAGACGGTAAGCGGTAGATGTTGTATACACTTGCTCATCACATCTAACCTTATACAATGCAATATTAGGACAGGGCTGATAAACCCGTTCTGCAGTGCTTGACAGCTGGTAACTAACCAATACCTTGATTCATATTTGCTTACACTATCTGAAGGACGCAAAATCTTGTGATATTGATCTGTCAAGACACAGGCGCTATGGTCCATACTTACATTTGTAGCGGGTATTTCTTTATACCCAATGGAAGGGTGGCCGAGTTGGTTATGGCGCCAGGTTAAGGTCAGCTTAACATCTGTTTCCTGGTGGGGCAACCCGCGCGAGTTCGAGTCTCGTCCCTTTCAACTTTTGCCATTTTAGTTTGTAAACCAGGTGAAATACTCTCAGCACAATCGTCTACGTTTTCTCTCATTGTGTCTCTGTAAACTTAGCTAACAGCAACGTTGTAGAGTAAAATATAATAATGGAGTAGTAGTAGAAAATAGTTTTACACCTTACACATTTAGTTAATTAAGACATTAATGATCTATTAGCTATAGGTACAAGATGATGCGACTTTTTTTATTTGCTTTTGACAGCGCGTTCTCTTGCTATCTCTTACACATCCTCTTTAGAGCGGCTAGACTTAGTGGCAAACCCCCCTGTAGCGGCTCTGATATCTTCAGATCCCTGAGTTCCACCTCGACCACCTGGCTTCCCCGTGACCGATTGAGGAATATCGTGACCAGTAGCTGTGATCCCCTCGCCAACGCCTGACGGTCTACCCTCCTCGTCGTGAATGGGGTTATCAGCAGCGCCATGCAATGTTGTTGAGCCCAATCCGCCGGCGGTAGACGGGTCCTTTTGGTGAGGGTTGGGCACGGAGCTGATGATGTTCTGCTTGCCTGCATCACCGGGTACTAAGTAATGAAACGAGTCAGCTTGAATATTATTGGAGATTGCCCTGTATGTTGTTTACAAACCTTTGGTTCCGTCCTTAGCCATGTCAAATAAATCACCACCTTGCTTTGCGTCGGCCATGATGTCTGTGAAGTTGGATATCGGGCTAGGGTGGGTCTTCAGAGCTGTCAAGGTCTTTACGTATGGATAATTGTAACAATCGTCAAAAGCCAAGTGCAAAATAAAGTGAACTGGGACACAGACTGGCCATCGGTTCTCTTTCAACAAGAGAACGAAGCTGTTATAAGGTGATGTTTAGCAAGCCACAATTATGTGGATCATTGATGTCATGATGTCATGATGAGTGTGGCGTACTAGAAGACGATTGCATCGCCAACGTGACGTCAAAACTGTAGGTATATCAAAGACCATAACGGTTAATATGGAACTCCCATTTCGATTACATCATCATGAGCTCTCTGTGTCTCGTTTATACCATGAATACTTTTGACAGATTACAGGCGCGTTAGGTCGGTTTGTCATGTTACCTTTTGTTATCAATCGCTGCGAAAAGGCTTCGCCAACTCTAGACCAGATAGATGATGAACAGTTTATCCTCAGAGTCTCAGGGCTCTCAAGGTGTCAATTGTTTCACCTAGTCAATCGAATTTCCTTTGAACCTAGAGCTTCCAAGGCCAAACTCTCCATTTCCGAGGTAATAATAATTTGATCAAGACTATTACGGCTTGCCCAAAATCTCATGGAGTGCTCCTCTTTATCAACCCGGAGGTCTGCCCTTTCTACACCGACAATGTAGCTCAGTTGAAGAGCATTGCGCTTGATAATCTTATCATTTTCAGTAGGGGTTCACTCCAGCCTCTCGGTGGAATATGCTATTCAAGATAACAGGAATATGATACCTAGCACCATCAATTGAGTCTTTGACCGACCTCGCTAATAGCGTCACGGATGGTAGACCCCGCCACCTCGACCTTTCCTCCAGGTATATCGAAAACGTTTGGAAAATGTTTCTCATTGGAGTTGCGTCTAAGAAGGAGGACACTGAAGCCTGAAGTGTAGTATCGTAAGATTGCAGCACCCATTCATTGTCATTCTATCGACTTGGGAATAATCTCTCGAATTGAAGTCAGGTTGAATTTCATGGAGTGTCATCGATAGAATATCCATGGCTCATTTCCCTTGTAAATTTCAATAGACGTGAATGGAAAGTTCTTTGTAGTGATTCATCAACTACACGAAAGAGGTGATTAGGTGGATAAGGTGAAAGTGAAAGAACAAAAAGGGTTCCTAAGGCATCTCAGTATACAACACATGTGTCCCTTCAACTCTTACTTGGAATGGTTCTTTTGCTATTTCTGTTTTCCCACGGTTGAAGTTCTCACACGTAGGCTATAAGCCTTGATCTTGATTCTCAAGAGTCCTAGGCCAGTCACTATAATGACAAGAGTCTCTGCTCCACCTGCACCACCAAGACGGGTAATCTCGCGCCGTAATGGCTAGGTAGTCTGACCGAAAGCGTTGATGGACTTGGGATTGGTGGATTATACTGTATTCAGCAAGATGTGAACGGCCAGCTTCCCCACGCACGGCTCCCCACTGCAACGCCTCTGGTCTTGATTTGTTGTCCCTGACAGATGGGTAGCTAAACAAGTCACTGGGGACGCATTTAAGCTGAAGTATCTTACTACAACTAGGAATGATTCGTACCGCCTTGACCATATACGCCCATTAATATTCATCCTGATTATTCGTAATGTACATATATATCTCACAGTCAACTTCTCTGTTTTACAAGTGTAGTTTACCGACGACCTAGTCCTCGTGAGCAACTTGCTTGAAGCCCTCGCTATTCGCCACAGGTTGATCGCGATCTAACTCGTACATCTTGTCCTCTTCGGCGTCATAGTGACGGAAAGTGAAGTAGAAAATAAACCCAATCACGAACGAGGAGCAGGACACACCGGTATACAACCACAGGAATTTGGGATCGACGGCAACTGAGACCAGAGCCTCAGAGATGGCCGAACCAAAGGCATTGGTGAAGAGATAAATACTCTGAACAAAGGACTTCATGTTCGGAGGGGCCTTGGTGTATGCATACTCAAGACCTGTGACTGAGATAAAAATCTCAGATAATCCAATGAAGATATAGGCAGGCGTCTGGACGGCGATGTGGACGCGATTGGGTAGCGAGGAACCTCCGCTCATGCCCTCGGGGCAGTTTCCAGGAGATTCGAAGCAAGGGCCAGCGTTGTAGATGAGATGCTGAACGATGGCTGCGTAGGCAAGGCAAAGGGCTGCAAGCCAGAAACCAATGGTGATGCGCATAATGGGCTTGAGCTCGATGCCAAACTTGCGCAGAAGCGGGTAGACGACCTTTTCGAGGATCGGAGTGAAGATCAAAATCGAGATGGGGTCGAAGTTCTGCATAAAATCATTCGGCATGCCGTGCCCCTCCATTTGTCCGGCCTGGGTGACGAAGTTCGTCGAGAACTGGCCGTAGCAAACCCAGAAAATAGGATCTTAATTGACGTGGACATCAGCTTTTGGGGTCTCAAGTGATAGACATCTAGGAGGACCAATGCTTGGAATAGAATGGAAAATGTTTTACTCACAGAATACAAAGACCTTGCAGGCCCTGAGAGCACGCTTAAGCTCATCGACAAAATGGTCATTCCACGGAACAGGCTTCTCGTTGCCGTTGGCAGCACGCCATGAGGGCTTGGCGGCATCCATGTTGCGGGCTACAATCATCATACCAAGCGCCTTGAACGCATCGGTGATAACGGATCCCTGAGGAGGACGGTTGACAAAGCTCTTGCGGCGGAGCACCAGCGTCGCGATACCAATGTTGAAGACGCAGAAACACATCAGGTACGCAGTCCAGAAGCCCTTGTACTTCTCCATGAAGGGGGTGGCCATGAGTGACAGAGATCCCAGGTTAATGCACCAGTAAAAGATCATGTAGATGCGCTGGTACGTGATGGCGGGGTCGATGATGACACGCTCGCCGTTGGATTCCGTCTTGACAGCCATGACACGACGCTGGTACTGATCGGCAATCAAGGGGGCGATGTTGGACTTGATGCCTCCAGTACCGAGACCAATTACGATGATGGCGACAATGTAGCCAGCCTTGCCAGCACCATTCTCAAGGGCCACTGGCAAAGACGTAGTCCAAAGGATTGCCAAACCAACCCAGTAGAAAGCACAGAAAACCAAGATGGTCTTGTATTTGCCGAGGTATTGATCAGCAATAATGGCACCCAAGATTGGCGTAACTAAAACGCACACGTCAGTCTTCCTTTCAAACTTGCGGTGTACAGAAGCATTTGGAAAGAGACGCGACATACCATAGCAGAACCATTGGAAGAACAGATTCAGCCCAGTTGCGGCCTGGTGTCCCATTCCAAGGCCTTTGGGGCCATCGGCTCCATTTGCGTCGTTACTGATGTAGTTCTGGAACAAGCCCTGAGCGCCATAGTAGGTAAAACGCTCAGTGAGCTCGACGACAGCAATGAGGTAGGCTGAGGCGGGAAGGTTCTCCCCGATACGGCGGAGTGAGCTCTTCTCATACTCGTTGGGCTCAGCGCCATCAGGAGTCGGGCCTGATTCCGTATCTCCGTTGATGGGAGATACTGGCCTCTTCTCGGCGTCGGTTGCCACGATGTAACCGCCCGCAAGGTCAGTTGTCTCCTTATGTGGTAGACGTTCACCTAACGTCTCGTGGAGCCTGCGGGTACGGACTGTCAGTGACATGCAACTTTTCATAGATTGGTGTGATAGGCGCATTACTACGTACTCAGCGGCCATGTCTTCGTGGTTCTGGGCCATTTTTACGCAATGAATATCTCAATTCAGGCCCAAAGGAGAAACAAACCGGGAAAATGGTATGGTAAAAGGGAGAAGAGGAAATTTCCAAAGAAAAGGCCCAAAAACTGCCCGGGTGGGGGGTATGGGACTCACTAGCTAGCATCACGACCTTGGAAAAATGCCCTTACCCTCGGTGTCAGACGAACCCTCGGTGTTCGCCACTCACTTCATGGTTCATTGGCTCATGTCTCCACTATAAAACTCTCATCTGAGCTTTACGCCAGAAGCCGAACGCCGAAATATATTGCCGCACCCCACTCGGCCGAGCGAGTCCGTCTTTTTCCTTGATAATTACGGGCATGTCGGATGATAAAGAGGGTAAATAGCGGGGATCTGGCCAACGGCCCGAACGGGTGGCGCCAAGCAGGTTTAGGGGGAATAAACCGGCCATAAACTTGAGGCTCTGGTTGGTCTATGACCTCAGCTTGATATTATCAATGCTGGTTTATGCCGAGGCTCAACGTTTAGGTGGGCTTTCAATCCTGGGGGATGGTTTTACTACCACGTTGCTCCCCAGTTGCCATCATGCAGACAAGGGATAACTTCTGCAGCTATCAAATAAGCTACTATGATTTGCACCTCCAGCTGAAATCGTCTGAACCACTCTAGGTATAGCCTTCCTTTCTCTGGAACGATGGCCATGAGGATGATATGGATGATTGCCTGTCCGCAACGCCAGCGATACAAACCCTTGGTTTTTGTCGCTCGTTATTTTCTTACGGTCTTTCGCTCTCGGTTTTCATCTGAGCTCGAAGTTGTATCTTATCGAGGACGGCGCAAAGCCCCTCGTCTTCACAATGGTCTTTCGACATGACTCACATTAGTATCGCCACATTAAGAGAAGCGATATACACCCATCAGGAAAAGCTTGATTTCAACGTCTGAGTCTAAAAAGCTTAAAGGTTTACGAAGCGGGTCAAGTGCCAATTTCATTGCATACCCACCCAACTGAAATTGACAGCCCCCTTTTGGTAAATTGACAGCCCTCTAGCCACTACCGCCACGCACCGCCACGCACTATCACCAAGCATCGTAGTTAATAACTAATACAGAAAAAGCGCTCTGTTGCGACAAAACTATTATTACTAACAACCGTCTAAAATTCCTGTAGAGGACAACCCTGTTGACAGGCATTACGCATGATCTTAGGGTTAGTAAGTAGGTCTAGCGGCAGGACCTTACTAGTATACATATAACGCAGGGTCTTAATAACATTAATCGAATAGCCTACGCACTTCCTTACACGATTTAGAGAACCTATATAAGGTACGTGTAGCTAGCACTCTTTATACAAGGTGGTAGGGGTAAATGAAAGCTCCCAGCCATGTTACCCCCCATAGCCGACATCATTATAAAGGGGGAATATTCACGAACAGAGAAGTTCTGCAGTAGGGGGGCGCGCATTAGATACCTGACAGGGAGCTTTTATTTCAGCCAGATACCATAGTATATTAAGGCCTTGATCTTAAGCATTATAGCCGTCTGTTAGTCGTTATAGTTTTGTAGCGAAAAGCGCGTTTTTTGTGTTGGGAATTGACAACTATGGTTAGTGAAGGTGTGTGGTGGCGGTGGTGGCCGGAGGGCCGTCAACGTACGAAAAGAGGGCTGTCAATCAACCTGTATCCCCAACTACGAACCCCTGGTTAAGTGGACCATTGCGTCACAAGCTTTGGTTACTACGAACGAATAGTGGTTAGATGGATTCTTCGAGCATTGTAACCAGAATGTAAAACGTTGAAGGTATCATCATTCAGATAAGATCATCCGGGCCATTGATAGTGCCATCGATGAAGTAATAGAAGCGGTTGGATTTGTTGCTCTTTTGCCATCACTACCAATGGCCGTATCATATTCTAGAAGCTCATGAGCAGCTAAAGTATTGTACTTGCAACACGCATGAAGCCGACTATCTAGGCATAACTCCCCCACCCTATATCCGAGCCACCCCCGCATCCGAGCCACCCGAAAATGCCGCATTTCCCCTCCTTCATCAACACCACTACTTTTTTCAAACCATCACAACAATTGCCATTCATAACCAAACAACGCCATTTTTTCAGGATACCTTCTTTAACCTATTATGAAGCAATATTCTGAAGATGAGCTCCAACGGGCCCTTCTAGAGGTGCAGTCTGGAAAGGGTATGCGGGCTGCTGCTTGCGCATGGGGTATACTATATCAAACACTTTAATATTAATACCATGGCAGGTAAAGCAGGAATGCTGCCTTTGAAGATAGGCAGCACTTATCCCAGGCCTAGGAGGATAATCTGGCTGCCTATATTACCCTTTAACAGTCCCTTAGCAGATACGTTAACCATTAACAAGTAAAGGGCCTGGCAGAGCGTATGATAGGCGATAGGCATCCTCCCATAGGGAGGAAATAGATAGCCTGATTTATGCGGCGAAATCTATCTATTAGAACCCTCTGATCCAGAGCAATTGATGCCTGGCGATGGGCAGCCCATTCCCCCAAGGTTATCCAGGATTTCTTCTATCGCCTTGGCAGTATCCCTGCTATCTAGGGGATCTATCTATCTAACAGATAGAATATAGATAAGACTGGTATTATAGAGGGCAGAGGGGGTAATAGGCTAGTGCTAGGCTCTAAGGCATCACAATATATCTAGAAAAAGCAGCCAGGATCCTAGGTATAGGTATCTATTATTAAGTGTATATCTGCTGCTAGTAGCTCCTTACCCCCCTTGGTTATATATAAGGGTAAATTACTTTAGGCCTAGTGGTTCCTATCTAACCTTAATATATATAAGCTATAGCGATTTATAGTAACTAATAATAGCTAGACGACTAATAATACTGCCCTTAAATAGCTAGAGAAGGTCTTTATCTTATGCACTAAGCCTACCTAGCTAGAGGAGGCTAGACTACTAGTTCTTAATAGGTATTATAGCTATATAACTATTAATTTTATATAGTAATGCTAGTAGTATAATATATATTTACTATTTCTACTGCTATATGCCTCTGCTGTCCTCTAGCCTCTAGATATAGCTGTCTTTAGCCTATTAAAGCAGGCCTATTATAAGGAGGTTAGATATCTAGATAACTAGGTTACAGATTTAACTGTTACTAGTAAAAAGGTATTCTTAGAGTGTTATTTTAAGGCCCACAAGGCATCTATTATATCTATTAACATTAGTAGTAGCTGGAGGTTATCTAGATTATAGCCTATATATATAAGACGCCCCCTATCTAACTTAATAGTAACTAGGGCCTAACAGAGCCAGCCTAGCCAGCAGACTAGTAGCTAACAGTAGGATGAAGCCGAATCCATTATCTTATAGTTAACGCCTTGTCGATCTGCCGATCTACAGCATTAATTACACTAGTTAATCCAGTTAGGCAAGGATGAGTTAGATACCTATACTATTTGCTACCTATCTAGAAAGCTACAAAAGGGCTATAATGAGCAGGCATCTAGAGCAGCCCTTCTAGAAAGGCAGGTCAACTCATTACAGGCCTAGTTAAATAATATACGGTCACGCAAGAGGAAAAAGGTCCAATTATCTCCTAACAGCACCTTTGCTACTATAGAGGATATAATCCGGGCCCAAAGTCCGGATCCCAGCAATATAGATAGTCCGGATGAATCTAGGGCATCCGAGTTACCCAGCGAGGCCGAAAGTTGCATATAGGTGGGCGGCAGAGATAGTGAAATAAGTGGTGATAGTGGTAGTGATGGTGGTGGTGATGGTGGCTCGGATGCGGGGGTGGCTCGGATATAGGGTGGGGGAGTTATCTTTATGAACTGCTATTGAAGGTTCGTTGTCACTAGCGAAGAAACGTTCATTAATATCTTGTTGGAAATAAACAAGGCAATGGGACCCTGGTTCTCGAGTAGCCCAAATTATGGATGAGACCACAATGACATATCTTTCCTGCGCGATTCCCCTTGACGGAAGAGTCCCACATGCTTATCAAGATCGAGGTCTTGTCAAAGATCTATCAATTTGAGTAAAAGTAATCCAAGCACTCCCCACTCTAGAAGCCATATATGAGGAGAATGGCCAGTAACAATGCCAGCACAACATCCATTGTTGCTGGTAACTAACGATTTGGTAGCTTAGTTCATCGAAGAGGATCTAGACGGCTCACACTCTGGAGCAACGCAAATCCTGTTTTGGCCCATAGATCAAGGATTTGTTTCACCAAACCTATAGCCTTCGCCACAATAACGTGGTTTTCAACTACAGTTTAGCTTATGGCTTGTTCATCTATCTTCGAGTGTCTAGAGTGTCTCATAGGTTATATCAAAATAAGACCATCCCGTACCAACTACTCTCTGTTACTGAGAGATATTTTAATAAATGGGCTCAAGAATGGCGAGGATACCTGTCCAGCTCTATTGTTCAGATCTACTATGATACCGACGATGAGTCTAATGCCCTGGAGAGCTTTGAAGTGCTCCAACACGTAAGCACTCTCTGAAAATGATTGAAAATTGAGATCATACATGTATGTTCGAATTTAAACAATCGAAAGCGAAATGAAAAATCATCGAAAAACTAAGGTGTGTACTTTTCAGGGTTGATAGGTATGCTTTCGATTCATTTTTTTCATATTTTGATGGAACTCAAAACGTAACACGCTTGCATGCCCTCCTTACCTTCGTAATCGAGTAACAAGGAATCAAGAAACATTTTAATCCTAGTCATTCTGTAATTCTCATAACTTATAGTGAGCAACTGATTCTCGACTCCCCTATTCTATGGGATACAGTGAGCAGTAGGCATTCGATTCGTTAGTGAAGATTCCTTCATCACCTTCTTCCTACTACATACTATTGACTTATGCACCAAACTGAAGATCGGAGTATAACCATATCCGCAGAGCCGGAAACTACAGCTGATTCTGTCGGAGAATGATAATGAATTGCATTCTGTCCCTGGGACAAGCATTATGCTCCTTCATCATACTTCAGATATTGTAAATGAAGACGAT